TAAAAACATATTAGGACTGTGATAAACAAATAGTAGCTGTTTTAAGACATCTATATAAAAATAGGACAATGAAATGAATGTTTGAACATGTAAATGCAGCAGGCGGGAATTAATAATCAGGTTTGAGATGAAGACATGTATTAACCCAATACACCAAGAATAGTGAGGCAAGAGTTTAACTCATTCGACACCACAAAGTACCTGCCGCCTTTGGTCAAAGAAAGTTGTTTTTAGTTTTTCCAAAGACTCGTCGCAATCGAAAACGATAATTGGGGCCGGCAACCCATATTTGTTTTCCAGCAATAATTCATCATGGAATTTGTGGAGTTGTTCTAGGTAGGCCAAAGGTATACATTCTTCACCGGGTCTGTTTCTCTGTTTAATCCTCGAAAGACATATTCTAGGGCTCGATCGAAGGTAAATAAATAAATCGGTCTTTGATTCATCGTGCTTTATTCCCCACTGGTAGGCCTCATGGAGTGCTCTGTAGTCTGCCTCTGAAATATCCCCGTTTTCACGGATCGCTTCGACAAAACAGTATCGACTGCTGTGAAGAGAGCGCTCAAGAAGGCGAACCGGGGCATTCTGATTAATTTTGGATCGTTGAAGAAGAGTGGAAAGTGCGCATGCTTGAAAGGGTACAGCCCAGCGACGGATGTCCTGGTACATGAGCTCAAAAAGGTTAAATCCCTTGACATTTTTCCACATGTTAATTGGTTCTTGAAGCACTTCAACGCTGGAAGAAATCATGTCAAAGTATCGGAGAAAGGTAGATTTTCCACATCCTATGTTTCCCTCAACTATAACGGAAAACTTCTTAGATATGCACATCGTAAGGTGAGCGGGATGGAGAAAATCGCATAGCAAAATTCGTACTAACGCGCAGAAGTAAAGGAGTAAAACACTCACGGTAGATACGTTGAAAGCAAAGTATATTTAAAAATTAGTAATTGAGCCCCCTTTGCGTGTACAAAGAGCCAGTAATTTGGTTAAATTTAGGGATTATTAAAAAAAACAAAGGTAAATTTACTACTATTGTTATATAGTGACTATTTGCTTGGCCACGTTCAAATAGACATTCGCCAATATATTAAACCTTTAGATATTTTTCCCAAAGGTCGTATACTTTGAATCGTGCAAGGAATCTAAGATTTGAGCCCCTGAGAATTTAGCCTGTTGACACAAATTGTCACTCGACCTTTAATTTCGAAAGGACAGTTGGTTAAAAGGAATTCGTACCTTGGTTTTCCAAGTTTCATAGATTTGTTGTATCAAGCTATTTCTATTATTTACAATAATCCTAAATGGGATAAATTCCTTATTAATTTTTAGCAAAACATAGGCGCTTGGTTTTTGCTGTAAAATTTCATTCATTTTACAAGAAACTTTTATGTTTGGTCTTCAGGACTTTGAGCGGGATACTCTAATGCCTGCAGTATTCTTTCCATATATTCTATCCTATTAATAACCGTCACTGACCCTCCTTTGTCTATTCTCGCAAATGAATGGTCTCTTTGTTTAGGCTTATTATCGCATCGCTAGTAATTAAAGGAACAATCTGTTACCCAATGTCTATGTAAGTATCCTCTGGACATTCATCTGTTAAATTTGTCAATTCTATTAGTATTTTCTCCAAAATCCAATCTCCTTACTATGGCTTCCTTAGTAGAAGCGACCAATAAAGTTTTGAGCAGGTTTACCACTTTTTGGCGTACATTTACTTCCCTTTTATTTAGTTAGTTGTCTCCTGCCTACTGTCTTATACTAAACTTGTTTAAGTTTATTATCTTATCTACCATTATTAACAGTTTACCAAAACTCTCCGAAATATTGGCCTTAGACATTATTTTACTAAATATGGTTCTAAGTCTAATTAATGAGTAAAACATTTCTATTTTATGTCAAATAGCTACCGAAGTATGCCAATAAGATCGGTCTTAGATATATATTGAAAATTTGGCAAAGAAAAAAAATATGAAGAGTATTCAACCTGAGGTGCAAGGTTTCTAAAAACGTGTATGATTAAATTTTCTGGTCAATATATTATTAATTCTGGAGAATATGACCATCGTGTGTACTTCGTATATATGAAAAAATATCTGGACTTCGAATAATCCCTTAATGAGTTAGTATAACTAGACTTTATATTTCTAAGTAAAAGTTATTTGGAAGGAAGTTGTTAATTGGTCTTAGCAAAAACCCACGTGGGATTACCTTGGAGTGAAAGTTGATGTATTGTGCGAAGGAGTCCCCAGATCAATATCCTGCAATCCCAATAAACTTGCGTAGAGCTTTCACCTGCCATGTGAAAGACAGGATATTATATGATTTTGTCTTCCTGTAGTTATTTCTGTGTTTGATACTTGTCGATCCATACGAAAAAGAGTATCCGAAACCCAAACCTCATGTAAAGGTCGATTAATCCAAAAAATGTGGGACTTGTTAAACATGTGGCTAATATAAGGCACGTTGTAGTATGTCATATACATGACGTCTTGCAGGCTATGAAGACTTCACATTCTCTAGCAAGAACAAGGAGTTTGTAGAAATAAATGCAATATTTAAATCCTGAATGAGTGTAGGAGACCGAATATGAACTATTTATATCTGTTGGATTTGCTTGAGGAGAGTAAATGAGAAGGCAAATAAGAATCACTGAGCATGAGATAAAGGCTTGAATAATTTTGAGTCTCGTTAGGGTTATCACATTTTACATGACATGAGCATTCCGCGCTTACAATATGCATTAACATATAGCTCAACATGCTTAATATTATAGGATTGTATGTTGTTTTATTAAGGCGCTAAAACAGCTATTACTACAATTACCTTATATTTGTGTATTACCTGCATTCCCATGCAAGTACGCAGGTCAAGTATGAATTAAACAACCAAATCATTGATTGCCCCATTATGATAAAAGAACGAGGAATAAGAAATATATCGTTTTACAGGCGGAAACTTAATTTTTGCTTAGCTTATGGCTATGATTTGTCGTAAAGTAATTTAGTTTGCCCTGAAAATTTGTGTCAGCGTGTGTTCATCGGGGTCAAAGGACTTCTTTACACAAATTATCTGTCACCCCCGAGCGAAATCCTGTTTCGGTTTTTAATAAAAACGCTTTGCGAATTCTCTAAAACCAAGTTTTCGTTCGAAATAGAAATTGAGTCACGTTAAATCACCGGGGGATTTTTTAATCAAGCTTTCTTCATAGATAAAATTATTTGTTTATTTATCGCATTCCACATTTGATCGCTGTTCCCTCTATTTTTTGACTAAATATATTATCAGCATATTTTTATTGTGGTTCGCAGGGCACATTGCCCCCTTTTTCATCTATCCCGCTTGTCAATTGGTCGCTACTAAACAGCAGGTGTTGTCCATGCTCATGTTCATGTCAAGGCCTAAAAATCTTCGGCTTCCTAGTCTTCAAACCCATGGCTCAGTTATCCTCTTTCTCTTCCCCATTCAAATTGTATCTCATTCTTTGGGGACATGTGCATGGTTTTATCCATAGCCGCTGGTCTGAAAAAAACATC